TCTTTCCCATCCCCTCCTCTGCCCCAGTCCCTCCAAAGCCCTTCCTTCAACTGCTGGGCCCCAAGCTGGGAGAAGGGCAGGCGGAGCAAAGGGGGCAGCTTTTATCTAGAGAGCAGCTCCCAGCCAGGGGGAGTGGAAGCGGAACTGGTCTACAGCTCAGAAGGACGGGGGGGAGGGGGGAGGAGGGGGCAGGCAGCATTTCATGGACCTCCTGGGAGCACCAGCCGAGCTGAGACTTACCCACACCCATCCTTAACAGTTGTTCTAAGGGAAGCAACAGCGTGCAGGGCAGCAGAGTGGAATAAAACAGGTGGTTAATGTGGGCCAATGGCAGGGAGCCTGTGGGGAACCTGGAGCCTGCCCTCTTGGCCATGCCACTGGCTTCCACTGGACACAGGCCCTGGTAAACCCCTGCCCACCTGCCAGGCAGCAGAGGTAGGGAGATGGCTGTCACTAGGGCTGGGACTCAGCCCCAGCTTGTCCATGCCCTGCTCTTGGGCTCCCCTACCTGGCCAGGCGCAGCCTCAGAGCAGAGAGACTGCCCCCAGAGCAGCCCTAACACATTTGAGCTCCGACAGCCATGGCACCTACAGCCCCAGAGCCCAGCTGTGAGGGCTCCCTGAGCAGCAGCTGTCCCCATTCAGTAGCAGTGATCCCTGTGTGCCAGTGCCCCATCCTCTGTCACAGGAAGGAGCTAGGCTCTGGCCACAGAGAACATCCCTTAGCTCTGTCAGTGGGCCCCAGCCCTGTGAGCCAGGGGCTTGATACGGGGGCATGGGCAGAGAGGGAAAGGATCCAGAGTCAGGAAAGGATCCCTGTCCCCTCCTGTGTCCCAGGGACAATGGACCCTGAAGCCATGGCCCTCTAATCATGGACTCTAACAGGGAGCTTAGTTTCCCACTTCCACTGTAGACAAGGCCCCTGCCAGCTCACCCTCCCTTCACACTCACCTTGCTCCTTCTTGAACTCATTTTCACTCATGAACACGGGAGCCATGAGCTCTCCCACGGGTGGCTGGATGGCGCCGTAGAACTGCCGGGTGTGGGTGCTGAAGGCAAAGAGACATTGGTGAGAGGAAGCCAGGCATTGGAGGCTTGTCGCAGACTATCCCTGGGAAGGGGAGCAGAGTGGATTTACTTCAATCCCCCTCATGCTCTGCCTACTTGTGACCTCGAACCTTCTCAACCACTGCCCAGTCCTCCTTGGGAATGTGCTTGGGAGCCATGGAGGAAGAAACATGACAGGATGGGGGACAGAAGCACAGAGCAGCAGTTATGAATAGAGCCTCACCAAAGCTCAGCTGCCTTGGAGCAAGGCACCAACCCTAACCCTGTCCAACCCTGTCCCACCCAAAGCTGGATACTTTCTGGACAACCAGCAGTTACAGTGGGGATATACTCTGACAGCATGGTCCCAGGCCAAGAGACAAAGGCCAAACCACACAGCAGGCTCCCTCCCTGCAAGCCCCTGAGCCTGTGGCCTGCACCTCTGGGGTGGGGGTGGCACCAGAGCCCGTATCTGTGGGACACTCACCACAGCTGGAAGTTGGCGGCCTGGGTGGAGTCACAGAAGTCGATGCCCATAACCACGCTGGTAGTCTCGCCAGGGGCAAGTGACTCTGTAAGCACACGTGCAGCACAAGGCTCAGAATGCTCTCCAGGGCCAAGCCATCCCTTTCTGCTCAGGAAGCCAGGGGGATCCTTGTCTTTGTGCTCACACTCCAACAGGGTCCTACCTGTCAGCTCCCAACTTGTGCTCGAGCCCTAGGCCAGATCCTGGCCCCATGGCTCATGGGGGCCTGATGGTGTACTGAAGGCAACCCCATTGCTGCTCCCCGTTGGCATCTGTGACTGCCTCCAGGCTCTCAGAGGGGAGGAGTGCCCCTCACCTGGGGGAGGGGAGTGGACCCCAGCTGGGGGCAGCAAGACCAGCACAGCTCACTGGCAGCTCCAGAATGGGGTTGTTGGTGCCAGTCAGGGTGTGGATCCATGACTGTGCCCTCCTACTCCAGGGCACAAAGAAGGGCACAGCCAGCCTTCAGCCCTCCCCACAAAACAGGGGCTTTGGGTAACACACAGGGCCTCATCTTGGCTCCTCCACGCTGTGGCTGCTTATGGGAAACAACCGTGACAGTGTCGTTTGGGACCCCACTGGGGAAGCCTGCGCACATCACCCTCAAGGGGCTGCCCCGGTTGTCCCTGCCCATCTGCTGCCCTCAGCCCTGACATAAAGCAGTTGTGCCATCCCTGCACAACACCTGACCAGGAAGGCACTTCTGGAGACAACTGGCTGACTTAGTGACTTAGGCTGGCCTGGGCCACCCACTTGGGCTCCCTCAGCTCCGTGTGAGGCCCAAGCTTCACAAACCCCAGAACATGGAGCATCAACCAGAAGGAAAGGCTCTGAAGGTTGACTCCAGCCCTGATGCAGACTGGCAGGGCCTTAGTATTCCCATCTGTCTCAGAGGGAGTGACTTGGCCTTGCCCTCCATGTGGGTCAGTGTGTACAGATTGAAGTCAGCAAGAGCCAGTTCCACACCACCGCTCAGCCTTACCAATCTCCTTGAACTCCTGCACCCTCATGCCAGAGAGCAGTTTGGGCTCACTGATGCGCACGTTCTTCACTTCTGAGTCCGTGTTGTTGGAGAACTGGATCTGGACAGCCACCATGTGTGGATCGGGGGCGAAGGGCTGCCGGCTAAAGTAGTACTCCACAGAGAGCCCCTCGCCTGTCATTCGGTGGAGCAGCTCATAAGTCTTCACAGAACTGAACACAGGGCTGATCACCTGGGGAAGAGATGAGATGAGATGTGGATACAGGCCGGGGAGGGGCAGAATACCAGGGCATGTGAAGCAGAAGTCCCCATGCCTTTGGTCTCTGTTGGGGTCTGAGCTGGCCCCAGTGTCACTTGTAGCCCTTAGACTGGGAGCAGCTGCTGCTTAAAGAACCTGGGCTCCTTATTCCTTATCCCAGGGGCCCCAAAGCAGTGCCTGCTGCTCTTCTGGGCATCAGTTACTCCCACAATGAAGCCTTGCAGTAGGAGCCAAAAGAGCAAGCACCCCAGAAGGAGGAAACTATCCCCCCTCCCCACGGCTGTTCGTGCCAGCAGAGGATGAGGATGTTCCAGAGGGCTCAAGATTTCTTTCCCCCTGGCCCCTCAAGAGAGCAGGAGCCAGAGTTGGGGCTGCTGGACTGGGAGGAAAGGAATGGGAGACACTTACAGTAGAAGCCAGAGAAGTGTCGATGAGAGTGAGTCCCTCCAGGTCGGTCACCAGGCTGCTGGAGACAAGACTGCTGGAGGAGGTAGGCAGGGGAGGAGAGGGTGCGACTACAAGGCAAGAGAGAGACGGGGAATAAAGGGTTAATGAAGATATATGCCTCAGGGACAAGGGGAGGCCTCTGGGTGTCATGGGCACCCTGAATCATCCAGGGGCACCCAGGATAGGGTGAAGATCAGTGAGAGAGCAGGTAGGGCTGGGGGTAGAATAGGTGTCAGGACAGACCTGGCTCTGCCCAGTGAGGCTCGGAGAACCATATGCCCAGGCATTCCTGGCAGCTCCCCACACTGCACCCCACAGCAAGCTCCCCACCCCGGACTGCAGGCTGCCTGGTTTGAGTACTGGGGAGAGCTACAGGGCAGGAGCTGGGAAACACCTGCAGCAAGGCTGGGGGCAGTGAAAGCTAAGTGCAGGGCAGTGCTGGGTGCGGGTGCTCTGACAGTCTGGCTGCACCCAGAGCCCCTGCCCTGAATGTGTGTGGGAGTGCATGGGGAGGGGGGGTCCACAGGTCCACACTGTCTGCTCTGCTGCTGCCCAAAGCCTTTGGACTGTTTTGTTTTGTTTTTAAACTGCTTGTACTGGGGCCCCAGAAGTGCCTGTCCAGAGCCTACTGGCCATAGCATGAGGGTGGCACAAGCCATCCCACCAGGGCAGAAAGGGACTTTTGCATCTTTCAGCACCCCACCAGGCCAGTGATGACAGGGGAATAGGAAGATCTTGATTATGGGAAAGGACCAAACCCACAATCTCACCTGCAAGCTGTTGCAGGGAGGGGCACATAGCAGCAGCACCCACACAGGAGCTTGGGGTTCTAGTCCTTGTTCTGCCAGAGATCTTGAGCCACTCCCTCCCCACCCTCCAGCCTCTGTTTCCCTATCAGTGAAATTAGAACAACATCAATACAACCACCCAGAGACCTCAAAACACAGTATGACCAATCAGCATCACTGTCCCCATTTTACAGGTGGGGAAATCAAGGCAAAAGGAAAGAAGGGACTGGATTCAGATCACCTAGTAAAACCAGTACAGAACCAGAACCAATACTGCAGGATTCAGGCACCCCTTGCCAGGTGCACTGGCTGCTAGAAAGCACTGTCCAGAGAGCCCTGGGGGGGATGCAGCAGGACTTTTATCATCTGTAAAGTGTTTTGAGAGTCTCAGAGGGACACGAGCAGTAGATCAGCCAATAGAGCAGGCTGTAAACTGCTCCTTGAAACAATATTTTTAAAAATAAAATAGCTTCTAAGACAATTTTTTTTTTTTTGCCAAAAAGTGTCTATTTCTTTCAAAACTGTTTTTTTGGGGTCAAAAAACTCTTAAATAATCTTTCCATTTTCAACAACTGATTTTTTTTGAAAGGGAAACATTAATTTTCAGCAACTGAAGTGTGAAATCCTGCCTTTCTCTGATGAAAAACAGAAACAAACAAACGCAAATAACAATTGCTCACTGTCCTCCATGGAGACAGAGTTATTTTTATTGATCTATATCGGGATCTTGTCCAGGAGCCCTAGACACAAAAAACAGCCTCCCACCCCTTCCCAGGTCCCAAGCTGCTTGCATGCAGAACACACAGAAAGGCCCTGCCCAAGGAGCTCACAGTCTAAGGCCCCACCATGAAGGCTTTGCTTAGGCTGCTTTCCATCCCCATGGACCTGCAGGGGCAAATCCAGCCTGGTCTTGGTGTGACAGCAGCAGCATCTGCGCTTGTGAAGCCTGGATCAGATTGCCACATCGTCTGTTTAAGACAGGCTCCCTCCTCTTCAGCCTGAGCCAGCTCTTTCTTATCTAAGCTAGGGGGTGGTTTCCCTGCTGTATTCCCTGCCTGCTTACACCTCAGGCTACCCACTCAGATTCTGAGAGAAACAGGGGTGGGAGCAAGAGGGAGGGGTGAAATTTGGCCCTCTGCATGGTGAGGTCTGAATACCTCATACATTTGGCACGTGTCCTAAGCCCAGCTTATACAGGGGATCCCAGAAGAGGGAAAAACCAGGCTCCAGAGGCTTCAGCTCCAGCAGGAGAGACACCAAGCTCTCTCAGCACCATGGACAGATCAGATCCCACAGCTAAAAGGATCAAATGGGCAGCAGGAAGCAGGGCCCACAAGGCAGGATGGCTCCTGCCCCTTATTAGAAGTCTTGGCAAGGGGGTTGCATACAAGGTGCTAATGAGCGTGCTAACCTTGTACAATGGGGGTTAGTGGGACTCAGGAAACCTGGGTTATGTTCCTGGCTCTTCCACCAGCCTGCTGGGTGGCCTCAGGCAGACTTCTTCTCCTCTCCATGCCTCAGTTTCCCCTGTCTGTAACTGGAGATCAGGACACAGACCCCCTGGGGCAACCCCTTCATGATCTACGGAGAAGGAGCTTGGTGGCTGTGGCTGCCATTACAGCTTAGGAGACAAGCAGACATCCAGCCGCAGCCATAGGGCAGCAAAGGCAGGAACTGGAACCCAGGGGTCCCTGCTCCTGCTCCCCCAGCTTGGAACAAAGGCCAGGGCTCCTGTTTCTCAGTACACTGCCACAGAGCCTCCATGCAGCTCTCAGGCTGCCACTGCTTTTCCCAGGTGGAGAAGGCAAAAGCAGAGCTCCATGGTCAGGTCTCCCGCAGACAGGGTCCTTGACCGGACAAACCACACTCCCCCATACTGAGCAAGGCAATTCCAGCTGCATCCTGGTCCCCTCAGGCTTTCATCTTAGCTCACATGTCCCTGCTGAGAGTGCAGGCTGTGCTGTAGACAGCTGCGCCGTGGGCAGGCATAACTTGCTTCCTGCTGTCCCAAGCATGGGATTCTTCCCAAAGAGACTACATTTCCCAAAATGCCTGCTCTTAAAAGCAGCCATCGCAGGCCTAATGGGACATGCACACAGGCTGCAAGGACCAGTTCTGCACACAGCACAACCTCTGTTTTCCACTCTGTGCCCAGCTTCACCCTCCCAGCTTCTGGCTCGCCTGCCCTCCCTTTTACGATTTCCTGAGCTAACTCCCCTGGCCTGACACTCAACTATGTTAAGCAGCCAACACTGGAAAAGCTTCCTTAAAAAAAATGTGGCTTGGCTGGTCACTCCCTCCCCCAGGAAAGGGAGTGAACAGGGCAGCTACAGGAAAGGAGAAAGGACAGCCAAGACCAGGAGGGGAGAAGTGGGGAGGGGACCCCCACTCATATGCCCCAAACAGGGCAGCCTGCTCTGTGCGGCTGGCCTGCACAGAAGCGAAACTCACAGTCATCCAGGTCCAGTAAGGAGATCTCCTTGGTCCCTTTCTTGGCAGCCTTTGGTGCAGGTTTGCTGCTGGGAGGCTGAAAGATAGCAAAGGCAGAGTGAATGGCAGCAGGCAGTTGAACACTGGGATCCATGGGAGGAGGATAAGCAACCCCATCCCTGTGCTCAGCAAGGCTTGGGTTGGGGAGATCAGCTGCTGGCCTGCTACTCAGTGTGGGGCAGGAGCTGAACAGCAGCTGAGAGCAGAGCAGGGATGGGGGCCCAGGATCAGCCTTCTCTGCTGTGCTCAGAGCCCCTACCCTGCTTCTTTACCGTCTTTCTCCTCTTGGTCTCTGTCTCCGACTGGGACTCCTCTGCGTCTGAACCCGAGTCTGACTCAGATGAGCTGCTCTCAGAGACGCTGCCCTCCTCAGACGAGGACTCAGAACCGCCTTTCCTGTCATGCTGTGGCTTCTTCTTCTTTGCCTTCTTCCCCTCCTCCTCCTCCTCCTCGCTGGGGCTGCTGGGGAAGGAGAGGGTCTCAGGCACACAGGAGAGACTTAAGACCTCATGCCCTGCTCAAAGACTCCTGCCTGGGGGTGCCAGCCTGGGCTAATTTACATATTTCATGTGACTGGATAAAGTGGGACAACAACATGCTTGGGCCTCAGCTCAGCCTCTGTGCTGCAGGGTGCACCCCCAACAAGATGGGTGTCCTGGTAGGGCCTTGTGATGCCAAGATGACAACCCAATGCTGTCCCCGCCACCCAACTCCTCACAGCCCATGGTACCTCCCCATGCTCTCCAGGGATGCTTTCCAGGGTAATTCCTTTTCCTTCTTTTTCTTCTTCTTCTTCTTCTTCTCCTTCTCTTCCTCTTCAGACTGGTCCCCGCTCTCCTCCTCCTCTTCTTCGCTCCCCGAGCCAGAGCCACTCTCGGTGCCACTGCCACTCTCACTCTCCGACTCACTGACTGACTCAGGCTCTGGAAAAGAGCACAGCTCAGCTCTGATGCTAATCTCCTAGGCCTGCTTCCAAGCTCCCTTGGCTGCCAACCTACTCCTACAGCCAGGGGCATCTGTCCCTTCCCTCCCAGTGCTGTGCTCCAAGCTGGGAGAGGTTCCCCCCAACTGGTATCCTGGGGTTGGGCAGGAGGTGAACCATGGCATCTGCAAATATACACAGGAAGCATGGTCCTCCTGGCCAGAATGCCCCTAGCCAGATGGCCTCTCCTGCACAGGAGATACTAGCTGTACTACAGGTCTCCCCTCTCCTGCACTCCCAGGAGATAGGCCCTTCTCAGAGCATGCTGAGCCCTGGGCCTTTTACAGAGAGGGAAAGCTTCTGTGCTAGGCTCTGCTCAATACAAGGATCTCAGTTGCTACTGGGCTTGAGCAGGGATAAGGTCTGTAGTCCCTTCCCCTTCTCCCCACTCTGCACACACACTTGTCCACGCCCTGACAACAGGTCACAGTACCATGCATCCAGTCCCTGCTGGCACCTCAGCTAGGGTGGTGGGGAGAGAAGAGCAGAAGTTCTGTCCTTTGCCTTTCAGCCACCTCTCAGCCTGGACACAAGGAGGCAGACACAGCCTCCAATTGCATCACCAGGGGATTTGGGCTGTGGCCATGGAACAGCAAGGCCCCAGCACTAGGTGCTGGCCAGGCAAGGAAGGAGTGAGTCTGCTCCCACTGCCACGGGGGTGGAGCGGCCTCAGAGCAGCTCACAGGGGAGGCCTGTGCCCTGACATCACGGCAGATGGAGCCCTCACCACTGTCTGCAGACTCTGTGGGCCCGGACTCCCCCTCTGAGTCAGAGTAGAATGGTTTCTCCACCTTCTCTTTCCTCTTCTCCCGGCTGGTGCACTTGGTCCATTCAGGAACCTGCCCGGGAAGTAGATAATGAAGGAGTGATGGGTGTTGCAATGAATGAGCACAGCCCCAAAGCTGCTGGCAGGACAGGCCCCTCTCCTCCCTGTCCATGGAAAATAACCAGATTAGGAAGGGGGTGAGGGGGAAACTAAACACCAAGCCCATAGGCTTTTCTGGGGCCCCTACAGCCCCCGATGCCTGCAGGGCAGGGATCCTGCTCCATGAGGAACCTGCTTTAAGAGGGGTTAAAGTGCATGCTGCGCTGGGGGGGG